TTTCAAATCGCCAGAGATGCTATAACTGCAACTGATTTGCGAAAGAGAAAAGTGCGCCAGCAGCAATCGATTACCTTGATTTCCATTTCAATTATTTGAAACAGATACGCCTAGATTACTTTTAGGCGGCTTTTAAAACCACTTTGAATCGTCCGGATCTGCGTAACATTAACAATAACCTTTACGCACAAAAAGAAGGGTAATCTGGCGCGAACCAGAGACGTAGACACAGCGGGTTATTGTGAGCGCCTGTCAGGTTTGCCTTTGTAAATTCATTTGTTGAAATTTTAACCTCGAGAACTTTAAGCTGCATCAAAAACTCCAATCACCACTGAAAAGCAGCTGAAGTAAAGGGAAGAGTGAATCTGTTTGGGGCCTTAACGACATGGCAAAGAGCTTTGCCCGTATAAGAGATCGGCTTATGCACAAAATACGTCGATACAGGAACGTTCGCAAGGATAAAGATGAACTTCGAGAGCCCATTTTCAATAATAATGACGACGATAAGAATCACAGCGATCAGGAAAGGGTTTCTTGCACCGACTGGCTGAGGTCAGAGAGCCATCGTACCGCAAAAAACAGTACAGAAAATCCTCGTATAGAAAAAGATCTCGGCTCTACAGAAATAACTGATGTAATGAACGATTTCCAAGAAACCGAAGAAGTTGAGATCGCGGGAGAAGCGGATTGTTTGCAAGCGAAACCACCCTTGCTTGAACGGAGACGCTCATCAGCTTTTCAACGATTGAAGAATTGGGTGAAACCGGAACACAGACGAGATGCTATTTGCGAGCAAATGGAGAGAGAAATTGAAACAAGCGGGGTGAGCTTGAGACAGTATCGAAAATTTCTAGCCACAACGTGCATTTTATATGATTTGAAAATGCTCTGAACGATCTAGATATTGAGCGACAAACGTTATGCGCAGAAAACAACCAGATAGTGAAAACTGTAAATGAGAGCAAACCAAAAAAGGCGAAATTCGTGTTTTTACAAGGTAATCTTACCCACAGGACAGCTACTAGTCAGTCGGCTAGAGACGTATCGACTTTAAATTTCATGGACCCTCATTAGATTTCTTGGCTTTTTTCAACAGACGAAGCAGAAAAAAAGTGAAATCTAAAAAAAAATTTTAAACGACATTTAAAGGTACAAATTAAGTGCCACGTTTTTCCAAATTCCACTAAAAAGAATGTAAATTAGCCATAACAAAGACAACCGTCTTCAGTTTTTGACGACTAAATTTTATGCCTTGTCAAGGTGACATGAAAAGAAAAGGATTTGTGAAGATAGGAAGTAGTAAATTATGGAAAGAGGATTTATCATATCTTCTGCGCCTGTGAACGAAATGTTCCGGTGCAACCATTCAAATAAAACCTCTTCGACAGTGTTTTTCAATGGCAGTATTTGTTTTTGTTTAGGTTTTCAAAATGAAAATCAAGTTTTTCCTTAATTTTGCCTCAAAAGGTCAGTTCAGTTAATAATAAAACGCTTGGCCAAATCATTTTCCAGAAAAGCCATTTGAGACAATAGTAAGGCCGCAGAGCTTTGATACAACTTATGGAGCGTACCAGAAAGTCACAAGCATAGAGACTCTTTTAACGAAAGCAATATGTAACAAGCAAAAACACCAAAGACGCATGCAAAAGACATGCTAATTTGAACCCAAGAAAGCGTCGATAGGACCAGCTGAGAAAACTAAATAAAGGATAAGTTGGAGGACAGTTCAAGACAATTGTGTATGGCGTCAAGACAGAACATTGGCTGAAACTGCGTTCTGACTTACGTAAACCCATTGTTCTTCTTAATAAAATGTGATTCTTAATTCACGCAACAGTAAAGTGATGTTTACAATGAGGCTTTTTTTCCACTTTCCATTTACGCCGAACTTTATTCAGTTTCGCTGACATCCCACGCACAAAACAAACATTTCTCTAACGGGCTTTTTCGCTTCATGAAAAATCGAATTTTGATATCAACAAAAACTGACAGCAATTAAGTTCTCAATTGGCCATTATACCCTTGTTGGTTTGCCTTGCTAGATTTTAGTCAAGGAAACGTACTACGCCCCTATCACTTATTTTACTGAGGATAAAAATACAGTTGAACCTCCCGTTTGCGACCACACAAAATTGCAAAGACTAAGTCGTCGCTTATGGGAGGTGCTTACAAGAATCGAACCACAGAGGCCTCCTCCGAGAAGAGGTCTGGGCACACCTACTTTATGGAAGATAATTTTATTGCATACAATTAAGTTACGCCATGTGGAATTCCATGTTGTTACTAAAGTTCTTTGTACATGTCAGATATTCTAAGTAGCATACTGCACACAGCAAACATAGATAGCAGAGAATAATTACTTTCAGGTCCAAATTAAAGAGTGGTCGCGGTCGATTACAGGAGGTGGTCGTTTACTAAAGATTCCAACTGTCATTCTTTGACTGGGAAAGTTTTGCCAGTGTTTTGGATTGACACTTTTGGAGGTGGTCGCACATTGAGGTTTGACTATATGAGGTATAATGGGCTAAAGCCTTTCATGATCAGAAATGAATACTTTTAAAGGCCCAGGGGGGAGGTAACTGCCATATATGAGCTACATAGGTATGTGCCGCTGTGAAGGGTATGGTTTTCAAGCAGTTTACTCTGGGACAGGGTATATAAATCAGAGAGTTTAGGTCTAGAATAGGGTATCATTTTCCAGGAAACTGATCAATTGGTTGAAGATTTTGGTCTAGACTAGGGAAACCGGGAATTGAAACTCAAAAATATGAAAAAATCAAATCGGTTTTGTTTTGGCTGAACTGTGTTTGTGACCTCAGTAGTTTCTGGAAAACAGCTACTCTGGGATAGGGGGGGGATTTTGGTAGTTTAGTCTAGTATAGGGTGGCAAAATTCACTTGAACGAGCTCTGGTATAGGCTAAGGGTTCAAGGGTCCCAGAGGCGCATCCCCACCCAAAAATTCCTAAAGTCCCCCCCCCCCCCGCCGGGCCCGGGGGGTTTAAAGGTTACATTCTAAAAGTAGGTGTCTTCAATGAATTTCAGTTTTAGGAATTTTCCACTTATAAGTACTTCTTGCAGAAAAGGTGAAATAAGCGACCTTGCACACAAGTGATAAAAATGCCAAAGTAATGCAGTTTAATTCTTCGGTACAAAACAACAAACAGCAATGCAACCCAATTCATGCCTTTTGTACGAGGGTTTGCATTCCACCGCTGGTTTTAGGGGGATATTAATAAAGAGAAAACGTATTGTTTTTCCCGGGGAGGATAATCCTCGAAATTCTTGGTGGGGGTGTGCCATCCTGACCCTATTTCAGACCAAAAAGTCATTTTCCACACCCGTTTTCACACCTGGTCTATAAAATCTATACCCGTTTTCAGAACTACATAGGTAGAAATTATGTCATTATTACTTAGATTCGAACGCCAGCAAAAAGATTTCTTAAATTCCATAATTCGAATTCGCATATTACTCTTTCTTGCCTTGTCCTTCGGAATTAAAACAACAAATACGTCCATAAACTCCCCTAGTTCCCTCAAAAACCATACCCGATTCAAGACCAAAATGGGCATATAGTATAATAGCCTGCGAAAACATCCGTTTCTCCTCGCTCTTCGCCGCTGGGGACGTTTCGCGTGGAGGAACGTCTGCGACTCAGTGGCAAAAATTCCATACTGATGACGTAAATCAATGTTTACATAATAAATCCGGTAGTCATGGGGTTCCAAATAGAAATTTGTACAGTTTTACGTGTCTTCTGGTCGATTTTGGTAAATTTTTGTGTTTATCTGCCAACGAGCTCCAGCAGAACTCAAATTCTTCTTCTAGAGAAGAGTATATTCAACAAATATTGACTGTTTTGCTAGAGATTCTTCGCGTTTACATTTGACCTCTGAATTTTTGTCTGTCAAACAAAAACAATGTAACTACGTCGACCAATCAAACCAGATTCCCTACAGATTTTGCGTCATCAAAATTTCTGTCGCTGAGTCCAGACGTTCAAGACCAAAATGGGCATATAGTATAACCGTTTTCAGACTGAAATGGCGCACAACCCTTACCCTTTGGGTGTTTTTATCTAAAAAAAAAGTAGCTCGAGGGAATAAGATTAGCTGTCAAAACATTAAAAGTTCACTATGAATCAGCAAATCTCTTTTTTTGAGCCACTACGCCGGCTAAACCGTCGCACCTATATGTACCTCATAGAAGAATGAAAATTATTTACTTTTCTCTCTCACTTTTTTCCAAAAACTCATGCCACTTTCGAATTCCCGTACATAACAAACTCACAGAGACATTAGAGTCAATTTGATGTTTTTGGATGAAAAGCTTTGTTATGAAGTTTGTTTGACGGCTTTTGAGGTCAAGACAATTGAGAAGTTGTACAGCCGTTGAAGACGCAAATCCATCACCCTTCAAATAATTTAGGTGCCTTAATAGGCTTAGAACAAGTGTTGAAAGGTAGATTTGCTCCGTAAAGGGTATTTAGGACAGAAGAGTCAAGGATAGCCTTCGGGAGCAGACGCTTTCTCGGCTCTTGTTTCACACGCTATTTTCTCGGCGGGGGAAACAAGTGCCGAAAAAAAGCGTTTGCTCCCCGAGGGCTAAGTAAGTCAAGGGTGACAATTACATCGCGTCAAAATGAAAAACAGATAGAGTACACACAACTTCTGGAACTGCCTTCCGTCAGTCGTAGCCTTAGTGGCAGATATGGAAAGGGTTCGAGGATAAGGAGGAAGGGGGATTGTAACCTGTTTCAGATAGTGCAGAGTAGCGCGGTGTAAAGAGCGAAGGAAACAAGGCCAAACAATCCCCACGAACTGCTGACGTCTCTTTTTTCATGCCTTAAAACAAAATACAGGGAAGCCAAATATGTCAAAATCATTTTATTAGTATTCTACAAACGTTATTTTGATAATATTAAAACTTCATTTACTCTAACCTATTTTACCCCTCAATCGACCCACTAAAAAATAATGTACATTATCATTAGTTACCAATACTTCATGTATCTCAACTCGTGAAAAACGTTTTCTCCTAATTTTCAATGGCTGGGTCCTACAAATTTTAACTCTGAAAAACTACAGGGAACATGTCGATTACAACCGTTCCCAGGTTTAACTGGCGAGAAGAACGAAACATAACTACTAAAATTTCATATGTTTGGTACGTACTGTATGGGGACACAAATCATACTGACTGGTATACTGCACTTAAAACGAGTCTGCACAATCCCCATACACCACGTAAAAACATGTCGCCTCTCCTTACTACTGACCAGCGGAAGCAAGGTGGTCGGCGCAAAAGTGAGAGCACTCGCTTCCAACCAGTGTGGCCTGGGTTCGAATCCCGGAGGCGGCACCAAATGTGATTTGAGTTTCTTGTTGGTTTTCGCGCTTCGTTCGAGAGGATTTCTCTTGGTGATTCGTTAAGTCTCTAAACATTTCCACATTCCAGTTCCATCCGAAATGGTAATGGTAACCAAACCACTGACGACTCAATATTTACTTTCATTATCTACTGACAGTTAGATATGGTGAGAGCCCGGAACGAGAGAGCAGGAGATGAGAATAAAAAAACTTAAGATTAGAACAAGAATTGGAAAGGGGTACGACCACATAACGAGGTTCTCAATACCCGTGACCAAGAAACATTCAAGGTTTACAAAAGAAAGTGTAGAAAGATTGAATACTTGTCGGGTCCGAAATTAACATTAAATTTCGTGTTTCTCCGGGACTAATACATGAATTTCAATTTACAATTCTTAAAAAATTAATTCGTCTCAGTGCGATTTTCCTATTTGTGTGGTCAGGCTTGCTAGAACGGGGCGTGGTCCGGTTAGTTGTGTCATCATTCCGTAACAGTACCAACATGACGTGACGCTCCAGCGCGGGAAAACCTTGTAACGCAGCTGATCGCCTTTCGCGCACAGAGCTGTAACCGGCATTCTAACCTTCCAGATGGTCAGCTTTCGATTGCTGTGCCTATAAAAATTTTAACGTTAATTTCGATATTGCACAAGTTCTATTTACATTCGCGATCTTGTAACCAATGGACAGTCATCCTGTACATGAGTATGGGGTCTTGGTGTCATTTATAGTTAATTTTCTCGAACGTTTTGCCTCGCGACTTCCAAAGAATTTCATCAAAGTATGCCCAAGCCTCGCATGGGCATTCATTCACAGTTTCGCAGCGGACAAAAGCTCCTCACAGATCTTTTTATAGGCCCATGTATCTCCCTTCATGCGCTTTCGGCGAATACCTGACAAGAGAGCAACAAATGGTTAGTTGATTAATTAAACAATTTTGCTGGGCAAGCAGAAAGAAAATGAGAAGCATTCTCTTGCAAAAAGAGAAAAGAATAGGCATCAACTCGCAGCTTACCTAAAATGCTTCATCCTTATGCTTTTACAGACAGAGAGAGGCGACAAAAGATTGAGCCGTGGTTAAAATCCGGCTGAATTGCATTCTGTTGCTAAAAACAACTGGCAAACGGCAAAGCCTCTGGCAGCCTGCACTGATGCTGTCTCTTTAAGTTAAGCGATAGCGAAGCTTTGATGTACAAGCACAGAAACCTCTTCTTCGTTTCGTTTTTTATTCTGTCTCTTAAAATTACACCGAAGCACTCACGTTTTTGTCGTTGGACTTTCAGTTTGCCATTTAATTTATCAAACAATACTACGCATACCTATCATTTCCATCTTCGGAATCAGACAGACTTCCATTTCGAATTCAAGGACGACTTTGCCTCTCTCGTCTATAGATTTACAGCGCAGTGCATACCTGCAAGTTAACAAAACACTTGAGAGAGCCGCCATAATGTACACGTACTGGTATTAAAAACATAACTATAAAAGGTATCTAACGAAATCAAGAGACCGGTTAAACAATCACAGCACCACTCTACCCAAGAGAGGGCGTTGTAAAGCGCAAATTTGAATACTGGTTGATATATGTTTTTCAGTTATTTATCAGTTGGGTATATAAATAAGTAAATAAAGAAATACATAAACAAATACCGTAAATCCGCTATTGAGCCCCCAGTCCAACCTTAATATTCTTCAATAATATATAAGTATTCCCCGAAGGGGAGCTGAATACTGGTGAATATATACCGAGACGCGAAGCGTCGACGTATATATCTAGCGCAATGAACCGACCCTGAGGGGGATAGTTGTTTTAGTATTTACCAAATTAGTTGGATAAAATCAAAAAGTATCTTTTTGTAAATAAAAGACGTCACTTAGTCAGGGTTTGTTTATCGTTTCAACTGATACTGTTTCGGGGATCATTTTTCATGATTTTGTTGGTTTCAAATTCAGTAAGAAAATTTTTTTCTTCCGACCAGTAAACACCGACGAGCCAAATTTTGTCTCTTTCTTGGTATTTGTTGGTGCAGCTGCTTCATATTCATCTTTTGAAACTGTCACGAAACGAAAAGCCATTTTGAGTCCCGTCCCAAAACAGTGAATATCCACGGATATTCTGAGTTACGGGAGCCAATCAGAACGCACGAAAATTGCAATCCACTGATTTGGTGAATACTAATAAATGATAGTCGTGATTATGGACTGATCTGGACTAGTTTATTCACGAGTAGGAAGTTTGAATATGTTTTTTATCTTTCTTAGTCTGTTGCATGACCTCCAGCTTCTCGCCTCTCAAACAAGTACCTACCCTTTTTGTTTAAACATGATGTCCGCCAGTTCCAAAACACGCTTGAGTTCATCAAGAACTTCATCGGAGCTTCTTGTCGAAGTCGAAGACACGTTATAAAGGGCCTACAAGTCAAGAAACAACGAAAAATGTTTTGTCTTCTTAAATAAGAACTCATTTATGTTTCTGAGCCGGTCCGAAAAGATGGCGGATTTATCTCTTTAACATTACTTAAAGTATTGTGTCAACATTAATAACATAGAGGATTTCATGAAAGTGGGAGGACCCTCACATCCTCTAGACTGTTCACAGTCCCCTATTTTTTCGTGAGATCGTTTAGATATACCGCGTCAAACCGCCACGGCTTTCAAATGTACCGAGGGGGCGGGCGCCGGGGATTATCCTCATCCTCCCAAACTGACACCCCACCCCTAATTCAGAATAATTATCGAGCCCGACGATCTTACGGAAAAATAGTCATTACATATCCGCAATTCAGAATAATTATGAGTCATTACATATATTTCCATTCATACAGGATTTCGACATCAAATACCAACTTTCAACCACCAAAATTTACTATTATTATTGAAATTAATATTAATAATAATATTATTATTATTACTTACCTTGACTTTTCTAGGCCCATGCCCTCCCAGTCCTCGTGGTGTAATCGCCTCCACAATTCTGTTGAGACCTTCTTCGATGCTACCCATAAACCCCTGCAAAACAAACGATGACCAGTGCTCCAACAGACACATCGATTCTGTTAAACGCTAACAAGCCATAAATCCCTTAAAAACGTCAAAATCCTAAATAATGCTTTTATCAAGAATCATTTTTGACATAACTTTTCGGTAAAATAGAAATTTACAGTCAATGTCAGCGAGTTTCAATTTATCAGTCTTTCAGTAAAGATAGATTCAAGACTATAATAGTTTATAAAATAACTAAGAAAATACGCGCGTTCTGATTGGCCGAGAGGGGTGTTTGCATGAGAGTATGTAAACATGGTTGTGGCGTCAAGATGTTTTGCTTTTCGCACGCTAATCACGCAACTACGAATTTAAAAAAGTTTTCGAGTTCAAAACTCGACAAGTTTACTTTATTTAACCAGTCCTTCGTCGGCTGAAACTTGGAAATTCGTTACAAAGAAGGCGTGTCAATTTTTTTTTCGCTCCAGCTGACAGTTTAAGCGAGAAAAATCCATATTTTGAATAGCACCTTTTTGCAAAACGAACTGATTACGCGTGCAAGACTTCGTGTACAAGACTTTGCGACTGGTAAGAATTTCTCCTTTAATCAGTGCCATAACAAAGAGTTTTGCGTTGTTTCTCGGGAAAGTTATTTTATAAAAGCGATAGAAAACTTTTTTCCTGTGTTTGACAGTTATGCAAACCCTCGACTGTCGTGTTTATATCAGGCTATGCAAACACAGAAAACGATTTCTATTGCTTTAATATAGACAATAAACTTGTAGGAGAGTCAACGTTAACGTTTCTGCGGACAAAGTCCGTGTTCGGAAAATGGATTAAAGTCGAACCCTGCAGATACTGGAGATTTGAGGACACGAACAAGTACGAGATTTAACTTCAAGTTTTTGTGCGTGTTCTAAAAAAAGACATTTTACTTTTTTTCACCAAAAAAGTTAGTTCAGTTATTTATACTGAAGGACGTTAAGCCCTCTCCAGAAAACAAAATGATAAAACGTCTTACATTTGAAAACTTATTCCCGACACTACGACATTCTCGCTAAAACCCGTTGTAGACTGAGTCACTGCTATCACGTTTTCCCACCAAAATGACGCTGGCTCACGCTCGCCCACTACTACGTATTGAGAAAATCTCGTACTCGTAGTCGCCCTCGAGCTCGAATCCAAAGCTCTCTAATAATGAAACTGGGTCAAAACTCAAGGTTTCTATACGTCATAAAACAGACCCTTCACTCACCCTGGAGCCCCACTTGCTAGAGCTAGAGGGCGTATCCAGAGATCCAAACCGCTTTCTACCGAGCGTAAAAGGAGACCTAAATGGCGTCTTCCTGCTTTGCGTGGCTTTGTCCAGATTTGTGTCAAGAGATTGGGACCAACTGCGAAAACAACAGAAAAAAACGTAAGCGTTCGAGTCTTATGCGATATAGGGATGGGATAGCCTGAAATTCACCCGATTGCTTCGAGTCGTTTTCTCCTCACGACTCGAAGTAATCGGATGAAATTCAGGCTAGGGATGGGATGGCTTGATGATATATCAGCCTCAAACAGTGCAAATAGTTTGAATTCAGGCTTTACTTATTTCAAACCTACCCTGCATTGAGCGACTAGGAGTATGTCTATTTTTCAATGCATGGGATGGTAGTCCTACACGTGAGTAGCCCTTATTACATTACAAGAGGGACACAACCTAGAGGTGTAAGCGGCAAATGGCATGACCGCACCCATCGTCAGTTGTCTAGATGAAAGCTTTATTTTTACGTCTCCATCGGATGATCCTCTAAGAGAGGTTTGACAAAAACTTAACATGCTAAGTAAGTTTACTTACAGTTTTGCTTGAGACATTGGTGTAAGATCGTTGTTACCAAAGTCATAATCGGAGTGTGACATGGGCATTTCGGCCGCTGCTCCTAAATAAAACAAAATGATCCCTTTGTGATAAAATCGTTACAAGACTGCTACAAACGCGAACAAGAGAAAGTGCTGTGTAATGAATAGGACAGATTATCTTGTTTTTGTCGCATGCCTGAGGCGTAATGAACATTTAACCAACGCCACATCAAAGGCAAGGAGGGAGTGAAACAGTGCAAGGAGGGAGAAGAAGGGGCCGACAAAAGAAACGTTGGGAAAATAGTATCTCTGAGTGGACAGGGTTGAAGTTTTGCAATGCCCTAAGAGAAGGTGAAAACAAAATCAAATGGAGGGATGGGGTTGCTGGGTCCGTGGCGCCCCAACGGTCACCATGACTACAGGATAGGTGTAAGGTGCAAGGTGCAAGATCAAAAGCAAAGACTTTAAAATTAAGGTACCGTAAATCCTCTATTAGGCCCCCCTCGATCCAGACTAAACCCCCTTCCCTCCCCTAATTATTCTTCACTAATAGTTGATAGACTGTATTAATCAATCACGACTGTAAAACTTTGTGAGGACTGATCCGAGAAGGTTTATTTACCAAGTGGAAGTTCAGATTTGATTCTGATCCTTTGCTGCATGGCCTCCAACATTCTTGTACTTGAGCTTTTCCACTTTTTATTCTAGTTCTTTATGGGGAACTGATACCATCGCCTTTTCTAAATTAAATAAGCCCCCCCCCCCTCCCCTTAACTGTGCTTGAAAGAAATTAGCCCCCCGGGGGCTTAATAGAGGATTTACGGTACCAGGGTTCATACAAAAAATTCCAACCATTTTTCAAGGACTTTTCAAGGACTTTTCAAGGACCACATTAGATTTTCAAGGACAACCTACTAGGAATATAATTTCACAGATTGTACAAAAATGCATATTCCCAGTATATTCTAATAAGACTCTAAGGCTTTAACTGTTTGCTTCACCAAATTCTCTACATTTTTCAGTTCACTTGTCTTAAACTGATAGTTAATTATTGCATTAAACATGGAGCACTTTACGTAAATGACCTTTACATTCACTGAGCTACGATTTATATTGTCTTGGACAACCAAAAAGCATCAAAAAATTCTTTCCAGGCCACTACATTCAAAGTTGAAGAAAATTCAAGCTCTTTTCAAGGACTTGCACAGAAATTTAAGGACTTTTCAAGGAAAAATGGAATTCAAGGACTTTTCAAGGACTTCCCCTAAAATTCAAGGACTTTTCAAGACTGTGCGAACCCTGGGTACTTAAGCCCCGTTTATAGGGAGAAAACCTGTCCCGGGTCGAAAGGTCACTCGCCTACCCGAGCCAACTTTTCCTACATTTCCTTTAAAAAACTTGGTGAACTGATTACATGAGAAACAAAAGAGTTGGCTAGGTTAGAAGTTTTTCCGTGGTAGGGTCACCCTACAGGCCCGGCCGACTTTTGTCCTACCCGGGTTAACTCGGTCAAGGCAACACAAGCAGAGCATGCGCGAGCGCTGTTGCTAGCCCTTGGCTCGGGCAAAAGGACCACCTTTTTTCTCATGTAATTTAAACGTTTACTAAAGTTGACTCGGCTGGGTCGACAGTATAGCCCTCTTTCGTTTCTCAATGTCAACGGGGCCTTAACCGTACCCAATTTTACCTTTAGCAGGGGTTTTCCTCGTCCGTGGTGTGATTGGTGCTAATGGCGGAGGCATTTCTGTTGGTCCTTTTTTGGTTGGTGTCGAGGGTACACTAGCCGGAAGGGTCCCAGCTCGGGCCTTCCTCGCGGGTGGTTCCATGCTCTCCTCTTGCTTATTAAACATGACCTTTCTTGATTGATGTTCACTGTAAGGAAGAGGTTTTGGCGGCCGGAGGATGTATTCTGCGTTTTCTGAGTTGGGAACATTAGGATGCTGGAAAGAACAGGGACATTAATTAGTTAGTAGTTTATCGTAAAAATCAACAAACAAACAAATATACATGAAACGCCTTGGGAATAGACCTATTCGGCTAACTCAATGTTGTACCCAATTCAAACCCCCTTGGGAATAAAACGTTTTGTTTCACATTATAATACAAATACAATACACAAAGAATCTTAACTCCGGGAGATTTGAATTGGGTACGGCCTTGTAAACAGTCCTTACACGGGCGATTTTATCATATCATTTGTCGCGTGTAAACAGACAGATATTCGTTGAAGCCAAAAAAGAGTTAAATGGGTAAGAACGTGTAAAATTCCGAAACCAGAACTATTGCGCTGTGTAGCAGCGTTTAAACGAGTTTGGCTAGACTTGAATGTGCGCGAAAAGGAAGCGTTTTATTTGTGATACATGTAATAGAATTGTATATTCGAGTTAGCTCGTTTAAGTACTATCAGTTTCTGGTATTATACCTCATTCTCTTTGCTTTCAAGACGCTTTCTTGTCCGTGACCTAAAAAATAAAACTTTCAAGTCTCAGTCATCTGCATCGTGTCGACTATTTACTCGCCAAAAATAATTATTTTTAAACATATACATAAAAAACACTTCATAAGGTTACACAAGATCAGGTGTAACCAATCAAACCGTTTCCAAACTTGATTCACGAAAGTATTGGTACTTAACTTTTTATCACTCGGTTTGATGGAACACAATAAGGGACAAAGACAATGCAGGGTTTTATGGCGATTTCTAAACGCGATCGAACAATCTGACAATCACAAAAATTATTTATTTATTGGATAAATTTTCCTGTTAACAGTGTTGCAGATGAATCTCCTATGACGGACGAAACCACGCCTGATACATTTAGGTACTTTAGCCACTTTCAGTGCCTTGGCAACATCTTGAGGGAAGAAAACTCTCCCCTTATTCAAAAACTGCTCATTTTTCTCTAAAAAAACTGTGTATCTTCATATCTTTGGGGAAAAAGTAGGCTCAGTCTCCAACCGTGGGTATCTTGATGTGCTCGTGATTCTCCCCGAGTGAAACGAGGAGAATCGCGGGTGCATCACGCACCCAAGACTGGAGATTGAGCCGGTATAGGGAAAAAGGGAACAATTCGTTATTCTTACTTGGAGTATCTTGGCAGTAGCTCCGGAGGTTGGCCTTTGCTTTTCTTTTTGCAAAGAAGGAAATACATCGCTGTCACCTCGTCATATTTCCACTGAAAATAAAAATGTTAAAACTAGGCTGAAGTGTGATTAAAAAGAATAATAATAATAATAAATTATAGCAGGCGGTGCCATATTTATCGTCCTACAGACATCCTGACTACACCCCGCATCGTAAAAAAGCATTTCTGATTATTTGTGTCAACGCAGGGCTCTAAATGAAGGTCGGTCAACGGACAATGTCCGGCCAAGATGACCATTTCTCCAAACAAATTTTCGTTGCGTGTCTTTTCATAAACAAACTCTTGAGAAAGAATATGTCGTAAAATGCTTTAAATGTTTAAACAGTTCAACGACGTTTCTTTCAATTTTTCCACATCTCGCAATACAACGAGTTTTTGAGCATACGAAGCCATAATTTTGTCTTATTTAGCTTTTACTTTAAAATATATCATTAACCGGCCACTGTATAAGAATTATTTTGAGCCCTGCAACAGCTTCAAAAAACGGGTCAGTTTATTCTTCCATTAAGCCTCGACTTTTGGATGATCATTAGCCTATCGTGCCTTAAAAACTAATCCTGTTTCATTATGACACACATCAATTTCCTCAGTAACGCCATGTTTCGAAGCCTTCCAAACTTAATTTCCCAAGAAATGGAACATTTTACAACAATCAAGTACATTAAAGTTTGGTTTAACTACAAAACGTAGCTTGCTTGTTACAATGCGGTAGGGAAATGGAGGGCTCAAAAAAGTCCCGTACGGTACGATAGTCCGTGACAAGTAGTTTTTCTTGTTGGGCAAGTAGCTTATTTCCCCAATGGGTAAGGGTCAGGCAAGTCAGCCTTTTACAAAATCGTTAAATAAAGACGAGCAAGAAGTAGTCTCGGGCAAGCAAAATGTGAAAGCTGCTTGCCCAAAGGACAAGCTGGAATATAAGCTGTTTTCGAGCCCTGGGGAAGATGGGAAAGAGAGGGGGATTGGGGAGGTCATCCTCTTCCTTTTGTTCTCCCCCCCACCAATCCCCTTTTTACGCCTACCACGCTGGCTAACAGAACACAACAACATAATGTTTTCTGGACGTACAAAATACACTTACATCCATCAATCTCTTGTTCATGGCTTCAACCGATACAACGTAATATGAGGCCATCTCTAGCAGAACATCCGGATCAGGTTTGTCCTTCTGTTTTTCAAACAAGACAACAAATTGATTAATAAAAGTAATTTTGTCAATTCATTTTTGTAAGGGTTTAATACTTATTGTAAAACAACAACAACAACAACATAAGACAAGCAGCCCCGTTTTTCTATTGTGACTTTCAAATATATTCAGAGACATAGCATGTGTTTGTGATTATGCGGTACATAGAGCTGATTCAATAAAGGTTGCTTTGGGCATTGGTAATTGGGCATTCGGAAACTATTGTTTGGTGGTCTCTCAAACAAATCATCGAATTGTTCTGTATGCCCAAATACATGTACCCAATGCCCAATCGCCAAAGCAACCTAAATCGAATTAGGTGTATACATGTACCTTAATGCGGCTTGTCCATCTGACAGGTGCAGCATAACCTTTCATCATCCACTCATGGTTCAAAAGGCCTTTAATCGTTACCCGTCTCTTGGGGTTTACCTGTTAGGACGTGACAAGAAACGAGCTGTAGTCAATTCTTGCCGCTTCCCTTGGAAAATTTCACAGGCCATACAACCGAACTCTTCACATGTTTACCCAGAGTTCACGTCATCCACAAAACGAGAAATTAGGCAGTTTCACGTCGTGGTTAAGCAAAGCTTGTTCCAGGTTCCAAGATAGTGACACGACAAACAAAACAAAACACGACAAACAAAACAAAGGCCTTTTTTAACTGGCCAATCGTGGTGCGTACTCAAATCTGGGTACACAGCTGGAAGTCCAGAACAAGGATTTCGGCGCTGTTTCGCAGACGGAGTTAACCAGAGTTTAATTTTGTCTGCGCGCAGGCTATATTTTCCCTTGACCTTGTTTTCCAAACGTCCCAGTACAAAAAAGCGTGATGCACGCTTTAATTGGTTGTGTTGCTAATCTAAACCTAGTGCTTTTATCACGTTGTCGTTCTCGTCGTCGTCGACGTCGTTGCTTAAGCTCCCTATAGAGGGTCTGTTGACAGGTCAATGTTTATCCTTCCAAAACAGAAAAACTGAACATAACTATTTGTTAATGTGTACCTGCAACAGCTGGCTTAAAATTTTGGCACTGCCTACAAGTGAAAAACAAAAGTAAAAGATGTAAACAAAGCTATGTTCTCTGTTAGCCTCCTCCGCAGGCAACTCCGGTTACGCTGACAGTGAGGAGTCTGAGGACGAGAAAAGGGGAAAAAATGTGCTGGAAAAAAAAAATCGAAGAGTGTGGACCGCGTCCTTCACCCTTGTGGACTAATGACTAGAGCAGGGGTCCCCTGGGGGTTTTCGTCAGACAAATTATTACAAGTCCAGTCCCCTAAGAAAATTTTTCTTCATTCTAACGTTCCCATATGGAGACAAGCGAGCGCGCTGTGAGTACTGCAATCTCGCTTTTATGCACTGTTTATTCGAAATGTTCGCTCTGTTCGTTATTCTGTTTTCTATGTTTGCTGTCTGGATCTAGATTCTGTCATTTTTCATTCGGACGTTTGCCTCCCTAGTTTTCTACTTTTCTCAAATGTTTGTTGTCAGTGATTTCATTTAGCCGATCGGCGGCATCAAAGGCATGTCTCCAGGCTCCGCTACCCTTTCCCTCCCCAGACTACCGCTCAGCTCGTTTCGCTCGCCGATTTTCCACCTTTCCCCTTCTATTTCTAGTGAATGTACGTACACTGATGGCTTCAATACGCGCCGAAATACGGGTTCTTGCGTTTTTAAGTCCAATCATATAGGCTGCATACATAAAATTACCTGGTGACAGCCATTCTGGTACTTCATACTCTCCCTTCTGCAAAGTAAATAAACATAAAAGACATTCGTTGAATTCGGTGAAAAGGTTTCAAAAATCCTATTTATTGGAAAGCTGACAGTGCTGTCAAAAAAATATGGTTACAGGGTTCGTACAGATTTTTGGATTCAAAAATACAAGACTTTTTCCAGACTTGTTTCAAAACAAAAATTCACTTTTTTAGACTCAAGGTTATAGCTGATCAATATAGACCTTAAAGAAAGCAGAAACAAAACTTTCTTCATGATGCGCTGCAAACGTTCACTTATCATGTCACTTATAAATTCACTCATAAAACTATTGTTTCAGGTTTGCAAAAAAAAAACACCGTAGGATTTTGTACGCAGCCTCAATAGATATCACTACATGAATTCTAAATTAGTAAAATTAATGGTACCAAGTGAAGGTACTGCTGAAGAGGTTTCACTTTAGTGGTCACACCATCAATGTTTGTCTAGCCCTAGAAAACAGCCAATACTTCGCCACGCCACCATTGGTTTTCACCGCGAAATGACGTCCACGGAACGAACGCAGAAATTCTATACTGATGACGTATCTCTACCCAGATCTGGGTGGTGCTTTTGATTGGTTGAAGGACCTTTCCCACATGGCACGACCAATCAGAAGCACTACCCATCTCTGAGTAGTGATACGTCATCAGTATGGAATTTCTGCGCTCGTTCCAGACGTAATTTGTGGGAAGAAAACTGTGGTAGCGCCGCGAAATGTAAGCTATTTTCTCAGACTAGATTCCAGACTCAAAATTAAAACTGGAGTTTATTTCTTTAACAAATACTGACTCTTCCAACTGACAAAGGTTAGAATTGAAATGAAAATTGTTCTAAAAGATTTACCTGAATTAACTTGTACAACTTGAAGGTGTTATCGTCATCAAATGGTAAAAATCCACAAAGGAGCGCATACAGCAGTACACCCATGCTCCACAGATCAACCTAACAGAGTTTTAAGAAGGGCGAGACATATTTGCACAAAAAATTGCCAGCTAGTGTGACAGGGCCCTTAAGGCCAAGTTCAGACGCCGAACTTTTCATGAGCCGAACCTGATTTGAATTAAGGCCGACCCAAATTATTTAGACCAGCTGAATTGATTCAGAGGCCGATCTTAACCGCAGCTGAAGTTCAAAAGGCGAAAAACGCTTATTTCGGCCAAACTGCCTACAAAATACGTTATAATAATAACAATAATAATAATAATCATTATATATGCATTAGGTTCGGTACATGAAAAGATCGGCATCTGAATGAAAGCGGTTCCAAAGTAGCTTCAAAGGCGAAATTAACGGCTGAGCCGTTCCAAATTGAAACAGGCGTTCCTAATTGACTCAGACGCCGAACTTTTCATGTACTTAATTCAACGTATCACGTTCGGCTCATGAAATGTGAACTCCGCGTCTGAACCGGGCCTAAGGACAGCAAATACCAAGTTGTTACAATTACATGTATGCATGAAAACGCCTTACCCTTAAGGTGGCCCGAACTTATGGGTATAAAAGTAGAGAGCTCTGAGGCTTATTTGCTGAAGTTAGGGAAATTTTGAAGTTAGTTTCATTTTTCGTAAAAATGTGGTTTTAAACGTATGCCGATATATCAAACGTTTTTGTATCTACATTTTCTTAAAGTGCCACTATTCTTTATTAAGGAAGCCAAAAATCATAGAAATCGGTTAAATCGTTCTTCTTGAAAAAGGCGATTAAAAAACGCCACCAACAGGAACATAAATAGGTTCAGGCCACCTTAAGGAGACAATAATTATACAGCTCCTTTAGGGGCAACAATTAGGACTTAGCCATTGCTTTAGACGTTTCTAAGGACAACAATAAAGGAAAATTTTCATACCTCATTTCCATGATAAGGAAAACCAGAAATGAGTTCTAAAGAAAACAAAAATTGCATAAAATGTCAAGTTTACAGTACATGTAAGTACAACAGTTAAACTACATTTTAAAGTGAAATTTTAACATCCATATTAACCACAAAGAGTGTACACTTGTTTACATGATACCAAACAATAAACAACAAGCAAGTTCTTACATGGCAAACTACTACTTTTTGTAACAACTTCCCTGAGATTTGTCCATTGCAGGGATTGAAAGAACTTGAATTCTAGCCTATCCTTCTTTGGGCAAGCAGCTCTCAAATTTTGCTTGCAGAAGTCAGTGTTCTTCCTGGGGGAGGGGGGCAGTGGAGTGAAGGTTATGGCTTTGACTTCGCTGTGAAATTTAGGGGCTAAGTTCTCTGAAACGTCACTCCCCCATTTTAAGACCTACATGTATTTTACGCAAATCAGCCATTGTTATCTTTAGACAACAATTTAAAATGTTTGATTCAATAATGTCTTCAATGCTCTCTTTCCAAAATGGGTGGCCCATAAAAAGAAAAGCTGTGCATACTTAGTACACTCACTCATTACCTTACTGGATCGGATCACAATGGGTATATAATTTTAATAAATCTTCAAGCAGTTGCAGGCAGTAAGAAGTGTTGCTTCAGATGGTAAATTTCACCAGTAAACTGCCTGATAAGGAGAACACTGAGGAAGCCACTTCTTGCTTGTCTTAGTTAATGACAGTGACTTGCCTGACCCTCGCCCATTGGTCAAGCGAGTTTTAAAAGCTACTTGCCCAACAAGAAATTTACATGTACTCAGTGTCCTGGACTACCAGATGGGACTCTTTTTCAAGCCCAGCTTTAGCGAAATGGGAAGCTTATTAATTTTCTTTCACATAGTAGTGTCTTTGCCCCTTAACAATGATGATGATAATGAATTAATTAATATAATTGCTTGTTCACGGGTGGGAGGATTTGGGAGCAAAAACCGGCAGATATCACAGGTCGTGATTACATGTAGAAGTGATCTGCAAAGATCAGCGAAACAAAGCAAAGCAAAGCAGAGCTGAGATATGCAATCACATGAAAGCCGCTGCAGACCAAGCAGCCACTCCGCACAAGCCTGCCTGACTGGGCCTCAACCGCTGTCCCACTAGTGCCGTCTTGAGGTTAGACTTGCTAAATAGACCCCGAGACCGCCCCACATACGATTAGTGAAGGAGACCACTGGCCAGCATTGTCTCGCGTTTAACTTAGCCTAAATTACATTTAGCCACATTTAAATTGGAAAACCTACCGGGTGCTGCATAGGCAGGAGATCCACAGCATGTATCCAGATGATCGGTCATGCCACCTCTTGGTTTGGCCACCAATCCAAAATCAATCAGTTTGATGTTCTGTCAATAAAGAAAAAATGAAGTGATAAAAAAAACAACAACAACAACAACAACAATGAAAGTAACTCAACTCTCTCAATTATGATCAAACAAAAGTCTCCATTATAACTACCCTGATGATTGTTCTAAGTTTAACTTGTTTAAATAAGCTGTACATACATGTAAAATAAAACTACACAAGTAAGCCATAAACAAAAATTAGATGAATCTTCATGACATACACTGTTATTGTACATGTAAATAATTATTTCATTTTCCTACCTGATCATCATCGAGAAGGAGGTTTTCCTGAAAGGATACAAATAAATAAAATCTAAAGTCAGATCAGATAAAATGATTGTGCAACTCACATAATTTTCACCCTAATTACACTGTAATTTCATTCACTAGACCAAAAAAAAGTCACTCACTGGTTTAAGGTCTCGATGAGCATATCCTCTGTCATGAATATAGGCTACTGCAGAAACAATTTGTCTAAAGAACCCTCTGGCCTCGTCTTCCTGTAGGGGAAAGGTCAATAAAGTATAACTAAAACTTTATTGTTTACACCAATGTATGTACATCATGTTTCATTCTTTGTATAAAAGCTATTGTTACATTAATATATCACATTAATCTTACAACCTACCCTCAACTTATCCTTGGCAACAATGTAATCAAAAAGTTCACCTCCTGGAGCATACTGAAAGAAATTGAACACTTGTGTCTAATACATGAATCTAAAGAACAGGACATTATTTTTTCCAATTAATACTGACAGTACTGACTACATGACTGCATGTCAAGCAACATACCTCCATAACCATAAAGATATATTCCTCTGTTTGGATCACATGATACAGTTGGCAAACATGTTGATGGGTCAGGTTCTTCATCGCGTCTATTTCACGCTGTACTCTTGGTAGGTCTGACTGCACAGAGAAGTACATCCATTTGAGAAAAGTCATGATAGTGATTACTTTGATTAAAATAACTGAAGATTTGTACATTATTTAGCAAAGTCAGGGCTGTCACTAAGATTTCAAGTTGCCAGGTGCTGTTAATCCTCTGTTACTCTGCAAAACCTCAGAGACATGAAGGTGGAGGTCAAAAATACAAAAAAATACATGTACATGTGATGTTAATCCAAACTTCCATCATTTGAATTAATCATACTTGAAGTGTTACGGTTGTGATTGATTTATACAGTCTCTCATCTAAGAATAGGGAGCTTAAGCAACGACAGCGATGGCTACAAAAACAACAGTTAAAAAGTCTTTTCACTCTGTTTTAAATTTTTATCGTTATTATTCCATCTCGCTCTGTTCATTAGATGTTGGCAAATTTTTTCTAGATTTGAATTCTAAAGTTCAGGAAAAGAGAAAGGGAATGGTGGCCTTATGTTCACATCTTCGACAAAACATGAAATTAAACAGTTTCACGTCTTAGTTGTGCAACGACAGTTGTTGTTTCGCCAGTCTAACCCTACTGCTTTTTTGACGTCCTCATTGCTGTCGCCGTTGCTTAAGATCCCTAATGAAGGGGGAAGAGGGGGAATGGGGGCTTAAAAACTACCATACAATTCCGAAAATAAGCCCCTCCAAATATAAGCCCCCCAAACTCATAACGCAAAAAAACCTCCGTTAAATCGCCCCTCCAAAAATAAGCCCCCAGGGGGGGCTTCTACTTGGAAATTACCCTCAAAATAATACAAAGTAAAACAAAGCAAAAACGGTAAATTCCTTCCAACTATAAGGCTAGCCCAATTGATTTTGAAACACAAATTTCCCTCCATAGATAAGCCCCTCAAAAAATAAGCCTCTCAAAAAGGGCCTTTGAAAAATATAAGCCCTGGGGCTTATTTTCCGAATTTTACAGTATCTTCTTTAAGGTATAATATGCAAGATGGCAAGGAATTGAACAGCTACGAAGTTCTTTTAGTTCCATTTTCCTTTTGTTGCCTATGAATCCAAAGAAGCCAGGTTTCCTGCTTATTGTTAAGCAGGGGAAATCCCCAGCTACTGGTCCTTAGGACGGCCCTAATGGGTGTACTGTATACGGCTATTTCGAGAAAGGTTGTCGCAAAAACTGTGCACGCGACAATCCCAAAAGGTAATATGGATATGATCAATACACTACACTACACTACACTTTTGTTGCTTTACTTTAGCACTCACAAAAATATGTCCGTGGTCTCTCATGCCATTCTTTGAAATTTCTTTGAAAACCAGCGATCTAAAAACCACCCACAATACCTTTCGGGATTGTCGCATGCACTTTTTCTGACAACCTTTCTCGAAACAGCTGTATAAAGTGTAGCCAAGTATGTAAGTACACC